AGTGAGCACTCTGATGCCAAAGTTAGCAAAAGTTCGAACTAAATAGAGAGAGAATCGAATTATTCGCATACCTTAAAATGAACGAAATGATTCTATTTATAGGCGAAACACCCGACAGTGTTCCCGACAAGGCCTCAACGACTCTTTAAGGTTACCGTGAAACGTGGCGTGTTGTTGTGGAGTATGTTAGAGGTGTGACCGAGCTTAGATAAGTCAACCGGCTCAGCCAGTAGTATGGGAGCGCGATCTTTAGCAGACTTGTTCGGCTTGGCCACTAAGGATAATCGACTCGGCCAAGGGAATGAGTCGAGACATATATACTTAGCTTCTGTGTGGAATGAATCCATGAGCCACTTGTCACATTTCGCATCCACTCATCACCTGCCACGTGTACGCTAAAATCTACCTCTAACAAAACTTGTTTTCAGTACTTTTCATTTTGGTTTATTTTGGTTTTTATAATATCAAAAACATCTTTTGGCTCATGTACTTCAATTCTCGTTCATTTTGATCCCTATAGTTGTAATTTCAAAACGTTCATTGTTCATGTACTTTTAATGGACAATATTGGTCATTTTATTTTTAAATTTTATCTCATTTTCTGCTATCACGGTCTTAGCATGACACTCAATTTCTTGAAATATAATCATAAATTAATTTGTATTGAAGGGTTTCCATTATGTATAAAATTTATATTAAAATTTTGTAAGTAGAGACCAACTTGATCACTTTTTGAAAGCACATGAATAAAAATGGATGTTTTCAAATTACAAAGACTAAAAAAATAAAAATTGCGAATAGAATGATCAAAATAGACATTTTAAAAGTACAATGACCAAAATAGTATTTAAACTTTATTTTTTAAAATCACTACATTTGTTTTATTAATAAACATTTACATGGAATTAATAATTTATTATATAAAAATGACAATACAGGTTAGGCATGTTAAATATATACGTAGGGCCAGTTTAAGCTACAGACGGGTGAGACTATCATATAATACCCCCAATTTTAATAGGACCTCATATTTTTTCATATAATATATAATATATATAAAGTTATCTATTTATTTTAGTTTTTTCTTATAATATTGAAAATACAAACTAATAACATATATAATTCTCTTGAAAATGAAAAATTCATAATCAATAGCTCATAAATTTCTCTCGGTTTTGATTGACATTTGAAATTAATTAATATTTTCTTCACAATTCCTTTAAATTTCCTTAAAAAAATCCCAACCATTAATATAACATTCTTAAAATGAGCTTAGGTTGGGAGACATTCTATTTTTTTTCCACAACTAAAACTTTTTAACCCCTCTTAATAAACTCCATAAATATATATTAGGTAGTTTAAACTAATTTTAACTTTAATCCTCTCCCTCCTCTAGAGTCTCTCGTAAGTCTCAACTTTTTATCTTGATGATCGGCGTGTCTTACAATTGCTAAAATATAAATAAAATATTATTTGCTCAAATCAATCTAGCGGTTTTAAAGTTTCATGTCTTTTTCATTCAAATTATTTTACTTTTTTTTTTAATATTTTATATTGTTGATTGTTCAATATCTTAATATATTTGTTTAGATTTGCTTAGTCAGAATATCAGAATGTCTAAAAAAAAATGAATAAGGATACTAAAGCTTAAGTAGAAAATAAGAAAAGATGAATTAGAAAAATTGATGGTAATATATATGAAAATTTTACTTAGAAATTAGAATATATTCATTCTGATTATAATATATATAAAACAAGAAGATGAAAAAATATTGATTCTAAATTAATTGATTTATTGGTAGAAAAATGTCTCATTAGAGAAGGTCTATAATTTTTCCAAAAGATGAAAATTTTAAGCATTTTATATTCGCTATACTAAAAAGTTATAAGGATAGAAATTAGCTCGTTATTTTTGATAAATTTTATTGTTTTTGTGGTGAGTTATTTGGCACTAAATCTAACACAGTTCAATGGAGAAATTAAGGAGTTAAAGATTGGAAAAGCCTCAGTTGTCGCCGAAAAGTCATGAATCCAAGTAATGATAACATATTTAACATAAATGTTTGGATTGATTTAAAAATTACATCGTTGAAAAATAAAACAATTGATAAAGATGTTCAARAATTAATTAATAAAAATATATCATTGGAATAAAATATTAACAAGAATTATAGCGGTTGAAAATCTTATATTCTATATTAGGACCTCCTATTAAAGTTTGTTTAATGCCCCATGTTATCTCGGGCCTCGGGAATAAGAAAATAAGTAAGTGAACTTAACACATTACAATTAAACATTTTTGTATGATTTCTCCCGTTTTCTACAATGCCCACAATTTAATTAGTTGATACACTATTAGAACGTGAGTTATGTACAAAAATGAGTAGATAAATGTCATTGAGTTAAACACGATGTAACATGCACCTAAACATGAATATGTCATGTCGATATTCTATGGATGGTATTTAAGTGTATACCTGATTATAAGTATAATAAATAGTTGGTTTAAATATTATTTTGAAGCGTCAATTTTGTTCATGTAATTATAAGACGATACTATTTTAGTCTATAAATACCCTTTTGGTAACATTCAATTTCTATTTTTTTTTCATTTTTCTCATTATTTGAAAAACTATTTGGTAACTCATCCCATTTCTTGTTTTCTAAAGTTTGATAAATGTTTAAAAAACGAAGTCCAAATTTTAGAAACCACAAAAAGAAGTTTGGTTTGCCCCTTTGATTTCCTTTTTCTTTAATCATTGAATTTGGACCACATCGTTAATTAACTCCCTAGTTGTATTAATTGAGCTTTTATGTGTGAGATAGACACATGTTAAAAAAAAAAAACCTCACGTATAAATAATTAGTTTTTTCAAAATTTTCTTTTATTTTTTATAGAACATGACGTGCGTGAGAATTCGAATCTATAATCTTTTAGTTTGATAGATAATCACGTTGACATAATTAGTTTATATAAATACTATAACATATTTTATTTATGTTAAAATATATTTTTTTGTTCTTGTTCTTGTACTTTTATTGAAATAACGATGTAGTCCCTGAACTTTAGCCTGTAACAATCAAGTCTCTATATTTTTACATTGGTGGTAACACATTAGTCCGTGAGAATAGGACCTGAAGTTTAGCCTAAAGTTTATCCGTAGTTTAAACTTTTGTAAAGATTCAGTCCTTGTGAAATTTTTTTGTTAACTTAAATATGTAGATCAATATAGATCAACCGAATTTATAACTTATAAAAACTAAATCGTTATAGGATGAAAACTACACTTAATTTTGATAAGATTTTTCACAATATGGACTAACTTGTTACAAAGTTTAAATTACAGAGACTAAGTTGTTATATACTAAAATTTAAAAACTAAATTGTTTCGTTACATATTAAAATTTAAGGACTAAATTGTTATTTCAGCGAAAGTACATGGACCAGATGTGTATTTTTAACATTTCTTTATTTCAATGATTATGAGACAAATGATCGAACCATCCATCTTTAACATAACAACATGTGTCTTATCCATTAAATTATCCTCGGACTAATATAACTAATATAGGTGGGAGTAACTCAATTGGTTAACGTAAGAAATTATTAACCTCTAATAAATGTTGGTCCAAATCTACGCTGCATCACTTTGTTTGGGCTAAAAATAAAGGTTTGATGCCAATGTATATAAAATATAGTGAATGTGATTTTATTAACTTTAAAATTTAAAGTGCCGACCGGAAACCGGAATGATCTGGATTCAAATTGTACAACCAATGATATTATCCGGAAAGGCAACCGGGTGTTCCGAGCCCTTCAATGGCTCCCGATGTCCACGAGTCAGTCGTGCATAAGTACACAATCCACTCCCACATAGCCATCCGTCACAATTCAAACGACAAAAATTATACATATTTTAATCCGTAATATTTGGGTAGTTTTTTTTTTTTAATTTCTATGCATGTTTTAATCCCTAATATTTGGATGGTTTTTTTATTCTATGTGGTATCTAAAAAAAATACAAAGTGGTTCTTTACGTTTTAAACTTTCAAAATTTAATTTCTAGTTGGTGGTGAATGTTAAAATTTGTTGATGATAAATTTATAGCATACATACTTAAGTTATCAGAAATTTAGATGATAAGAAAGGTCGAGATGAAATCTACAAATTTCTTTGAAATTATAACGGAACGTTATAAAAAAAACCACAATAAATGTCATATTTTCCAATTACATCATGTGTACATTTTTGTATTTACCAAATAGGATGATTAAATTGGAAAATGTTAAAATTACATAAAAATTTGAAGAAATACTCCAACATTATAAACTAAAACATATATTTAGCATTATAAACTAAAACATATATTTAGCAACCAATCAGAGCACGACCAAAGATGATAAGAACATACATTACTAGTTTGATCACCACCCTATGAACTAAAAAAAACAAGTAAAAAAATATGGTATCAATTTAGTCCCTGTATTTTCATTTTGGTAACAATTTTATCCATGTAGTTTAAAATTTGTACCAATTTAGTCAATTCCGTCATCAAAATTAAATTTGGATTTTCATCGCACAATGACGAAGTATTTGTAATGTATAAAGAGTCCCGTTTATCTTTGACACAATAACACTCGATTAATGAGTTATTACACACTCTTTCAAGGACGACCTCCTGGTTGTCCCAATACCCTTACTTCCTTTATCAATAACCAGATATTTAAAGAGTGTTTCTCTCTCGATATTGATTTTAACTCATATTATTTTGAGATCTATCTAATATTTAGAGTTTGCATAGATTTGGCACTAACAACCTGGGAAGATTAAATCATAATCGTCGAGGGAAACTATAAAGATAAAAACTGTGTTTTAATAATAAAAAAAAAGAATGAAGAAAAGATAGAAAAAATTAGAAAAAGAAAAAGGAAAAAAAAAGTGAAAAGTATTTATAAAAAAAAAAGAAAAAAGAGAAGACGGTCGCTTCGATACGGTCCGGTCCTCCTTCGGTCCCAGTTTCTTCCATTCTCTCTCTCTCTCTCTCTCTCTCTCTCTCTCTCTGTGGCTCTCCAAATCAAACCAAACGGAACCTGCAAAAACCTCTCTTTTGCTTTCTTCTCTCACAAATCTCCGCCGTCGATCCTCCTCACATTCTCCGATTCCCCACCGGAATATCCCGGCGGAGCAATGGTACCAGGGTTTATCCGCTGCTTCACTGACTTCACCTCCCAACCCCGTCTCGGATGATGGAACTCGCCGATTCCTGCACCGACGACAACCCCAAGCCCACTGACTCCACCCGCTCCGGCATCGGAATCGGCATCGATCTCAACGAGATCCCATCCCCTTCTTCCTTCTCCGAAACCCTACCCGACACATTCGACGTCGTCCGCTCCTTCCACGACAACCCGCCGCCGCCCGATGGCGACCCCGCGGATGTCCCGCGCGGGGGCCGCGGCTCCGTTTGTGGCTCCTGCGGCCACCCGGAGGTGCGCGGCCACGTCGTCGTGTGCGACGGCTGCGAGCGGGGGTTTCACTTGGCTTGCGCCGGAATGCGGGGCGCTCACGCGTTGAATTTCGAGGATTGGGTATGCGGGGACTGCCTTTGCAGCGGGGCCAAGAGTAAGCGCTGGCCTCTCGGGGTTAAGTCCAAGCAGCTTTTGGATATAAACGCTTCGCCGCCGAGTGATGGTGATGCGTACGGCGAGGATGGTGCGGAATTGCCGGGTATCAGGTACGGAGTCTCGTGGCTCAAATGGGGAAAAGAGTAGTTATGTTCACTTTTTTTGTTCTCTACTAGCTGCTGTCAGCTTTTGCAGCACATTTTTTTTTTGTTTTGTTTGAGTTTCGAGTTTCAACCATGAGAACTTTGCGTTGGAGTCATTGTCGTTTTCAGTGTAAACAGATTGTAGGCTTTGGTAACCATAGCTGTTGTGAAGATATGCTATGTGATTGTGAGCTTCCTAATTTTTGAAAGAACAAACTTTAAATGGCAAGGGCTGCGAATCTGAGCAATTTAACTGCAAAGTGCAAACGTCTTCACTGTGGGGAAATTAGTTAGTCATTTTCAAGTTACTCTGCCACATCCAAGAGAAGCTGTGAGCCATGCAGTTAAAAGTTCTTTCCACTCCTATGGTCTTTACTGAAGGGCATTCAGAGGTTTCGGAGCAGAATGCATAGATTCTGCTCCTACTGTTTATTTGCATGGGCTGTTTGCTCGTCTCACATAATTTACAATTTCATCTCTATATTAGTCTTCTAACTTATGCATTGGGGGATGTCTTATCTCTGCAGTTCTATCACTTGTTTCTCTTCTACTTACTTTTGAAGATATTTATGTTTGGAAATTAGGGTGGATTCTATTTCTTTTCATGAAATTAAAGTTGTAGAGAGTAGTTTACTTGTCATTTTTTTTTGATAAGGAGTAATTTACTTAAATTTTAATATTTTTTTTTTATAGAAAGCACGCTGCAGTAGATAATTCTTTCCGTGGTACTTCCTTTTGCTCCTCTGTGAAATATAGAAACCTGATACATTCAGGGAATGGATTTGGCCTTCAAAGAGCTTCAGATATTGTGAAAAATAAAGTTAAAGTGGGTTTAGGAGACATATCGCAGCAGACACAGGTTATGGGACGAAGCTTGGATGTAGATTTGGGATGTCCTTTAGGAAGTTGTAGAAGTAGTAGTGGTACAACAGTTAAATTGTCATCTGAAAATACTAGTGAGATCTTTTTACAGGCGCTTAGAGATTTTATTTCTGAAAGGCATGGTGAATTGGAGGAAGGATGGAGTGTAGAGATTAAACAGTCAGTCGACAGTTGTGAATTTTATGCTATTTACCATGCGCCTGATGGGAAGACTTTTGGTTCAGTCTATGAAGTTGCTTGTCATCTTGGGTTGATGTCTTCTATGCAACCCAAAGCAAGAAGACAAGGGTTGTCCCATTTTTCTGGAAAGTCTTATACACCAAAAAGAAGAAAGCAAACCAAATCTTCAGTTGCCAATGGGTTTCCTGACAACAATGGAAGTTTGATTAATGATCGATGTAAGGGGCTCTTGTGTGACCGTCGAAGCCCGTCTGTTATCACAATAGTTAATCTTGAAAATTCTGAGGAAGCCGTGGTGGAAGAAAACAGAGGCTCCATTTCATCACAATGTTACGTAAGTTTACTAGTAATTTATGTTTATTCTGTTCTTGCCACTCTAATCTCTCTCCATGTTACCTATGTACTGATTCCATCATTAAATTTAAGTTTTCACTTATTGCTGTTTTCCTTGCTTATTTTTTGTACATTTTACTGCATAGGAAGGATTTCCTCTTCAGTTTGAAGACTTCTTTGTTCTTTCCTTGGGGGAAATTGATGCAAGACCTTCATATCACGATGTTACCAGGGTTTATCCAATAGGTTTTAGATCTTGTTGGCACGATAAGGTTACTGGTTCTCTATTTTTAAATGAAGTGTTAGATGGTGGTGATTCTGGGCCCCTCTTTAAGGTTAGAAGGTGTGCATGCTCTGCTTTTCAAGTTCCAGTGGGGTCCACTGTCCTCTCTAGGCAAAAAAGTGAGGCCTTTTCTGTTGAACAAAACATTGAAGATTATTTGATTAAGAATGGTAGTGATGAGAACTTACAGATGATTCTCTCAGACCTATGTCCGCCAAATGAAAATGATATTTTGTCTTGCCTTGGTACTCATTCTGACGGAGCTTATAGTGTTCAGATGCAAAATGGATTGCATCATGAAGCAAGTTCCTTTGGAAAATGTGGAGATCTCTCAGATTATCCGCATTTAAGAGATGAAATTGGTGAGATTTCAGTTGAAGACACTTCATTGTCAACAGCTTGGAAAAGAATGTCACATGATTTGATTAAAGCATGCTCTGAATTATGCAATCAGAAAAGTACTTTACGATTCTGCTGTAATCATGCGGGTAACAAACAGAGTTTTCTAGGCCATTGTAGAAACATAGACAATAGTGAACTGAACTCTAGATTGGCAAAATTTTGTGGTTTTCCAAGTTCTGATTTCATCTGGTCTGTGGTTGAAGTTGAGAACGAGCACTGTAATTTGCCTGATGAACTTGAAAAGTGGCTGGACCAGGATAGATTTGGGTTAGACATGGAATTTGTACAAGAAATACTTGAAAAAATTCCATGGATTCAATCCTGTTCAAGATATCAGTTTGTAAATAAGAGAAGAGACAGTACGACGTTACCAACAGTTGAAAATGGGGTTATAGAGGTTCAGAAATTTGATGGAGAATGTAAAGAAGACGAGCCACTGAATTTTTTATTTAGAAGATTGAAAAAAGCCAAGTTAGTTGGTGATGGCAACACCAGAGACAAGAATCCTCCACCAGGGAAGCCTTTGTGCTTGCATGTTCCTCCTGAACTTATTGGTGATGTTTACCAGGTATATGCTGGCAATTTGTTTATTTGAGATAATGTAATATGTGTTTTTAATTTTGACATATGATCTTATTTTCTTAGCACAAAACCTTTAGATGTTTTCTTAATGACTCAGGTTTGGGATTTCTTATCTCGTTTTCATGAAAACTTGGGTCTTAAAGAGGCCTTGTCTCTTGAGGAACTTGAGGAAGGTCTTTTCAACCTGCGGGGTGATGGGACTAACGTTCTCCAAACATCTGAGAGTGAATTTGAGAAAGATCAGATTTTAAGTTCTCTTAACACAGAGTTTTCAAATGGGCGAGTATCCTCAAAATTTAATGCTAATGGAGATCCACATGCATTTATACAAATGGAAACAAGGGTGATGAAGGAGGTATCTGAAGGTGAACTAGCTTCCTCAACAGACAGCAGGTGCATGGGTGCAGCTCTAACCAAAGCTCACACTTCTCTGTTAAGAGTGCTAATCACTGAGCTTCAATCCAAGGTAGCTGCTCTTGTGGATCCTAATTTTGATTCTGGAGAGTCAAAACCAAAACGAGGAAGGAAAAAGGACGCAGATAGTGCAACTTCTTTTAGGAAAATGAAGCTGAATTTGCTCCCTTTGAATGAACTAACATTGCCGGAATTAGCCCGCCGATACATCTTGGCTGTTTTAACTATGGACGGTAATCTTGACTCAGCTGAAGTAACTGCTCGTGAAAGTGGAAGAGTGTTTCGATGCCTACAAGGTGATGGTGGCGTGCTTTGTGGCTCTCTCACTGGAGTGGCTGGGATGGAGGCAGATGCATTTGTAAGATTGCTTTTACTTTTAGTTTTCTAAAATCATCTCTGGAGTGTGACAGCTCACATATGCCACCACCATTTCTTGCCAGTTTTTATATATGTTAAACTTCGTGGCCAATGCTAATTTTCTCTTCTAACCTTTCAGCACATTTGTAAGGAAATATATACATGTTGTCTCACCCTTGTTTTACCCAACAGCACTATGGTCCTTGATTGATGATTGAGGCTAGATTATAATTTTAACTTGAAATATAAGCATGAAGTCACATGATTGGCATATTAGCTCCCATGTTGGATAAGTTTTTTAAGGAGCTAGCATGGGAATTGTTAGTCTGATATTGGAAAATCTTGGCTTGTGTAATAATTATAAATAACTTATTTTCATTTTGATTGGATAATGTAATTTATGAGGGTACTATTATGGATTTTTATGCGGCATGGAAATTTTTTTTCATGTATGTTATTTTGTATTGAATACATATTCTTATGGGTACCGTTTCAGTGAAAGGAGTTTGTTCATGTGAGACAGCGTGCGAGTTATATCTTCCTTGAGTTCCACTGCAGTCTGCAGCGGTCTGGTCTGATAAATTATTTTGAACTTGCATTCCATTTCAGGAAGCTCATAAATTAGAAACTATTAATCTCAAAGCATATTTT